AAGTTATATCACTCATAGTCTTCCATGGTCATCGCTCTCTGGTATTTCTGTGGTTTAAATTAATTAACCAAAAATACTATGGTGGTGCAGCAAGTATCATTGTTGCCTCACAGCCACATGGTCCCTGGTTCGAACCTGAGCTTAAGTTCTTGCTGTGCAGAGATTTGCCTATTCTCCCTACGTCTGCATGGGTTTCCTCTGGGTTCTCCAGTTTCCTCTAATCTCCCAAAAAAAACATGCCGGTAGGTGAACTTGCGCTAGGCGTGAATGAGTTTGTGTGCATGGTGCCCATCCAGTGTGTATTTCTGACCAGTGTTCCCAGTATAGGCTGCGGATCCGCAGCAACCCTGACTAAGATAAAATGGTTGCTGAAGATGAACGAATAAATGAATGAAAAGGAAGCTTTGTGTGCAAAGATTAAAGGTATGCATACACACCTGTTCAAATGATAATCTTTTCTCTGGCTCAGTTTTGGGATATGATTTTTGATAAGCAGAAAAAGAGGGACAAAATGGCTTGTATTCTAATATCTGAATATTCTGAATATTATGACAATATATTATAAAATATTATATTAAATAGTATACGTTATTAGACTAACACATACGCAGAGTCAGTGTCGGGTATTTTTAACAAGTAAAACTTTTTTCACTACCTTCAGAAAACACAGCTTCAGTGTCGTGTTGGTTCTTCATCCCTCCAGCACTCTGAAATACTGTTGTGAAGTGACAGACCTGCAAAGGCAGTTTTTGTTTATTCTTTAGTTATGAAAAGTGAAAAGTGAATTCAAACTGAAGGAATTGCAGCTGTTTGTCAAGCTTGTTAAAAAAATTAACTGCACATTAACTACCTAGCTAAGTAGCTAAACGGTGCTGGCGCTTAGCTAGCAAAGTATTAAATTATTATACCTTAATGTACGTTTAGCTAGCTAATTTAGTTTAGTTCTAGGTAATTGCTAGCTAGTTGTGTAAGTATCTACTTAATTACATCGAATTAATTCCACTTGGTTACCTGTTTTCGAAAACAAAACAACACCGTGTATACTTTGGTACACAGGTTGTTTTTTTGTTTTGTTTTGTTTTGAATGATAAAGTTACCTCAGGTGAAGTATGAAGAGACGCGCGCGCGGATGTGCATAGTATACGTTATTAGACTAACTGATCATCACTTACGGACTGATCATTTATGAACTGAAATCCATAGAGCTGTCGTGTAGAGAAGTAATTTAGCTCACTGTCTATAGAAGTAATATACCAACCAAAACTGGTGTTATTATTATCACTGTGGTTTGAAATTCACACCAGAGCACCTGCCAAACTCGGGCCAGAGTTTAGCACTGGCTGTTAATTCAGTTAATTTGACAATCCATTTGGTGGGAAACCGGGAAACAGAGGGGCATTTCCCTCTACACATAACGTCCCGTATATAAATATATATCATCACACAAGCTATCCAAAACAACGGTATTTGCAAAGGACAGCAAACGCGTCATTGGTTCGCTGCAGTGTTCTAGCAGGCTATTGGCTGTTGCTTGTGACGTACGTTTGTAATCATCATTCGCTTTATCAACTTCTATACGACGTTAGTCGTTTTGACCAGCTGCTAACAACGGCAGCTTTAACAATACAACAATATAACATTGAAAAGGGAGGTGAGTCGGAGGAAGAGGATGGTGGGAAGTACTCGGCCTGGCGAAAAACAAAAATACAGTCTATATTGACTTTATTAAGCCAACTGTGGGAGACGTGCATTCAGCTACATGCAGCTTATGCATAGCAAACACACTGCAGTGAAACATGAAGGAAGAACTGGTTTGTTTCGGGTGTGTATGCTGCAGCTAAAACACACCGAAGTCTAATTCAGTCTAAACGCAAAACGAAGGCAATTTCCACATTTATGGTCAAGAAATATTAAACTGAGGAGGACAAAATTGACTTCTGTATACTAATTGACTGGATTTAGTCAATTTGCCCCCCTCCTTTTTTGGTTCTGCTTGTTGATGTAGCTAATTTAAACGGAAGAATTTTGGCTAACCAGCTAGCTAGTCAAATCCGCCCCATTTGGGCCCCGTAGTGTGGTGACCACCAGTGTTTAGCTAATATCCAGTATCTTGTTCAGTTATTTTTATTGTCTTGTTTAATACTGTGTTCTCTCATCCTAGGTAATGAAGTATTCATTCTGTTCATTCTTTCATGTAAAATAATATTGATGTGTGTGTGTGTGTGTGTGGGGGGGGGGGGGGGGGGGGGGGGGGGGGGGGCAGTGTTATGACAGTGAAACAGAAAATTTCAGAAGTCTAGTAGATCATAAAGAGGGGACACAGAAAAAGTCAGCATTGATCAAGTAAGACCAGCAGCACACAGAGCTTCAGCAAGCAGCTACACACATCACACAGCAGATTTCAGCTATAATAATAATAATAATTTTTTTTCTCCATATTATCCTCTTTGGACAATGGTAAGTTGTAGCCAAATACTGATTATAAATTATAAATATTTATTCATAAATTACAACCACTCATATTTTGTAGTTTAATATTCAATAGGTCAGGTATAACACTGTTTCTATTCCAGACAAAGGACTAAGTTCAAGTCAGGATACTGGGGTTTGTGTTGGGAATCAATGAAGCCCATTCGATTCCACATAATTACAATACAACTGAAATTGAAATTAAACTTTAAACTCAAACTCTCTACATGCACTAAAATTGCAGCTCATTAGCAGTACTCTCCATATTGTTGTCATTAACAGTCGGGAAAAACAACAGTCAAGTTATTGTAATTTTTTTTGTGTTTATGCAACTTGATTGTTGATTTTCATGTTTTCATGTATTATCCCGCTCCCCAGGCTACTCAGCATTCCCGGCCTCTTCTGTCAAAGAAGAAGCGCACACTGGTAATAAATTAAAAAACACTACAGTACAAATGTTTAATGTCCTCATTATGGTGTCTTCACATATTTACTACAGACGTTTCACACCAATAGACTTCCACAGACTGTCCTATGACTGTTGTTTTTGCTGGACTTTTCTTTCTGAGATCATTTAAAACCAAAATAATAAAGATTAATATATAAATATGAACATACTGAGTTTCATGATGTTATAGGCGTGAGTATTGTCACTGAGAGATTGTAAATATTTTACATTTCATACTGTTTGGTAGACAAAATGTCAAGTAATACATGCTGATGCATATGCTCTGATGTTTTAAAATTTTATATTTTAGTTATTGTTTTCTTTGTACATTCTTCTAATGGTATCATTCTTTTTAATATGGCATTTTTAAAAAAAATATTTACACTTCAACTTTAATTCCCTACAGGTTAGAATTCAAGATCCTAATGAAAATGGCTGAGATGTCAGCAAAGAGCTCTTGTTAGGAGAAAGAGTCACAGCTCCCCTGAAACCATAAATATAAATATATATTGCTTAAATGTGTATGTATATATGTGTGTGTGTGTGTATATATATACACAAACATATTAACAGTTAACACTTGTCACTAACACTCTTCCAAAAAGACCTGGGTCTTTAGGCAAAATTGTTGGTCACAAGACAAACAATGTTTGAATGTCTTTTAGAGCTGTTTCAAATGCTGTCTGAGTTGTAAAATTGGGTTTAACTACATTAGCAATAACACAGGAAAAGTAACAATAACACAATAACAATAAGTAACAATAACAGGTATTTATAAAAAGACAACCACTGATTGAAAATTCTATTACAGTTACCACATGCATACTGTCCTGTTGATATAAAGCTAATTCTGATTATAAATTTATATTTCAGTAATTAATTCAGTTCAAATACCAACAACCACTAATCAGCTAAATTAAATTTGTAAAAGTGAATGTTAAATACACAGTTGCACACTTTAGGTCACATGGAGATAAAAAAAAATTAATGGAAAGGGTTTAGGGTCTCTAGTGCTCTCTCTCTCTCATTTTATATATATATATTACATTACATTACACACAGTTAGTTCTTGTCAATTATACAATAATAATAATAATTTCTCTTCTTTCTCCTTTTCTCTCTGTGTGAAGGTGTTCAGGCTGGCAGTATAAACACTCCTCTGGCTCCACCTGTCTCGACATCTCCACCAGTGTCAGAACATGAGCCCGAATCTGCCTCCCATCTCCAGTTTCAGCATTCCGTGCAAAGCAAAGACATCGTTTCTGAAGCACCCCCATCCACACCGTCAGCTCCTGCAAAGCTTACATGGGGTGATATCATGGATGCTGAGGATGCTGGCCTGGAATCTTACTTCTGTGGTGTCTCTAATCCTCTAAATGTCTTCTTTTTCACTGGAGCACGAATACCATCAAACAGATAGAGGAGCAGAAGGAACAGGCAAAAGTCCAGCAGGACTACACCTGTTAGGACCAAGAAGCCCCCTAAGGAACACCTTAGCAAGAACATCAAGGTACAGCAGTGAATTTTGCTGATCACAGGCCTGAGAGGACACGCTTTATGTCCATATATGGACGTGTAGGCGTGTCTGAGTTCATGTGTGAATATGTGAGTGCCTGTTTAAAAAAAAAAAAAAAGAGTCTATGTATAGAAATGTTGGCATTTCTTTAAGTCTATTAGAGACATGGGAGGTTGAGAAATGGAAATGTATACCTGTGTGTAGGGAAGGGAAGTGGATAATTATGAGTCTTACATTGTTTACACAATATATATGATTATCATGAAGCCAAAGGCACAGTGTTACTCGAAAGGGTACAATGCTGTTTTCCAACTTTTACACATTTGGATCAGGTTTTGTACAGCTGTATTATGCTGTTTCACATTTTTAGCTTAATGTTGTTGTTGTTGTTGCTCCTTCGGCTTCTCCCGTTAGGGGTCGCCAAAGTGGATCATAGTCCGCATATTTGATTTGGCACGGTTTGTACGCCGGATGCCCTTCCTGATGCAACCCTCCCCAATTTTTATCCAGACTTGGGACCAGCACTGAGAGCGCACTGTTGCACACAACCCCAGTGGCTGAGGTTGGTTCCCTGGCCAGGAAACGAACTCGGGCCGCAGCGGTGAGAGTGCTGTGGCTTAACCACTAGTCCTCCAGGGACCCACATTTTTAGCTTAATAATTGGCTTAATTAACTGGATGCTGGATGCTGACTGTGCCCTGTTCTGTAGACTGTCAAACTGTTGTTGAAGAATCTCGACTTCAGTGTGGATGACAGGCGCCTACATGAAGAGTTCCTGCCATTTGGAACTGTCATCAGTGAAAAGGTCACTTACAATTATTAATGCCTACATTTTATTCCTTTCTCAATAACCTGTGTTCACTTCCCCTTACTCGCTCTATTACGTCAAAACCAGTGTTCGCTTGCAGCACAAGGAGACGAGTGTGTAGTGGGGTGTTTTTTTCTCAGCTGGTATATTTTTCGAATGTGGAGAGCTATGATATTGTTAGCGTATAACGCATGTAATGCTCATTCTTTGTTTTCTGTACCTTCTCGCTGTCCCCTACAGGTCATGATGGAGAATGGCTACTCCAGAGGCACTGGATTTGTCAGCTTCTCATCTCCTGATGAAGCCAGTAAGTCCATCATGGAGATGAACGGCAGGTTGTTGGGCAGCAGGCCAGTGAGTCCAGCTCAGAGCAAGGAGGAGCATCAAGGAAGGGACAGAGAGGGGACGGACAGTAGCCGGCCTACTGAACCTTGCCCAAATCCACACAAGGCTAAACAGAACATCCAGCCACAGCGCGAGCCCCAGTTGTCTGATTGTATATCAGTTCTGTGTTAAGTGTGACACAGTCTCTGTAGGTTTGCAATCTTTACCACTAGCTAAATTTTACTTCCTGCCTAGCCAATTTATGTTCGCTATTGAAATCAATGCTAGTCTAACCTGGTGTTAGCAAAAAAACAAACAAACAAAAAAAACAGTCTATGTTAGTTAAATATAGTTTATGTCAACGTTAGCACATTAGCGAAACTTACTGATTGGCCGCTAGAGTGAAGTGATTGGATGCTAAAGTTAAATGATTGGATGCAGCTAGTGATGCAGCTCCAGAGCTTAGGAGAGAAAAGCAGCAGTACAGGAACACAAGCAGAGCACAAACCACACCGCAGCCCCTGGATGCACAGGTACAATTCTGATTATATTTCCAGGGACTTTTAGGGATTTTTATAATTTGGACCAGGTTTTGGTCACAGCTATGTTATGCTGTCTCTCATTTTTAGCTTAATAATTGGCTTAATACTGAGTGATTGATCAGGATATATTTAAAGCCCACAGTGCAAACACACACATGCACACATTCAAACACTGGATGTTGACTCTTGTCTCTGTTCTGTAGCGGGTAATACTCTTTGTGAAAAATCTGGATTACAGCATGGATGACAGGCGCCTACATGAGGAGTTTCTACTATTTGGAACTGTCATCAGTGCAAAGGTCATTTACAGTTATTAATCCATACATTTTATTCTTTTCCCAGTAACCTAGTTCACTTCCCCTTACTCGCTTTATTACGTCAAAACCAGTGCGCACTTGCAGCACAAGGAGATGAGTGTGTAGCAGGGAGGTTTTTTTTTTTCTTTCTATATTTGCTACCTTTACCTTCATACCTTTAACATAAAAGAGTTAGGTATCAGCTATGGGGAGGTGCAGTACCCGAAACCTAATGCTAACATAACATAGCTGCTTTGTTTCTATTTGGGTGTACAGATGGTGCTAGTTTTTCCTCATGGTTAGTCACATGAGAGTGTGTAATGCTCATTTTGTGCCTTCTGTATCTCCTCGCTGACCCCTACAGGTGATGATGGAGAACAGCCGCTCCAGAGGATTGGATCGGACTTGTGCGCTACTCATCTCCTGATTAAGCCACAAAGGCCATCAGAGAGTGATGAATGGAAAGATGTTGAGGAGGAGCCCACTGTCTGTGACTCTAGCTAAGAACAACGAGCAGTGCAAGGCTTCCCTAGCCTGGAATGAGCAGTGGACACGGAGCAGCCGTCCTACCGAGCCCCACACAGGGCCAAGCAGAAGGTCCAGCCACAGCGTGAGTCAGAGCTGTCCTTATAATGTCTTACAGAATGTATCTTGCTGCTTGCTATGTAGGGAGCTTCCTACAAATCTGAAATAGTGCAATGGTAATACAATATTGTGATAATATTATAAACCATGATAAAATTTACTGTGATATAAAAAATCTTATATCTGCACACTCCTACTGAACACACTGTGTACCTGTGAAACATACACGTGCACGCACACACCCTGTGTAAAGTAACACAGCTCTGCTTTTCTCTTTCAGGTCATCCCTCTGGATGAATAAATAAACATTACAAGTGCAAAATGCCACATAAATGGTCTGGGTCTTTATCACAGTAAATAATGTTGATGTGAATAACTCACACAGTAGCAGCAGTAAAGGTGCTGTGCTGTTAAATAATCAGTCATAAAATTCAACCTTAACAGACTGGAATTTTCATTAGAAATGAAAGAGAACAGAGAAACGCAACAGCAAATCACAAATACATCAATGTTAACTCAAAACAGAAAGGCTTGTGCTGCAATCCGACCACCCTACTATACAGTAGGCGAAAAGCAGTACGCCAAAGAAGTAATATATACGAATTGTCAGTATTCATAAAACAGTTGTCACTGCGCTATCTCATAAGGCAAAGGGACTGGCGCAGAAGAGCTGTCAGAATTAAAATGGCGGAAGGTAGCGCGTTGGTAGCGTAACTGCTATAGGTATTAAACGTTCCCTGTGGTTAAACCGTACTTGTTTAACAACACCTGAGTAAACTGTTAACTTGTTGAAGGTTAACAAGAAAAAACAGTTACCACAGCTTCCATCAAAATACCAGTGACTTCCTTGCTCACTTTAGGTCATGCACAGAGGACTTGGGGATGGCCTGTGATGCCATCCTCTATGATGCTGCATGGACAAGCCAGTAGAGGAAGACATGCACTTCAATGTCCCATGGTCGGAATCGGACTTTAGGGCAGCAGTGAGGGACGTGACGGACTGCCGAGAAAGCCGGAGATCACCACAGAGGTCAGCTGTCTCATAAAAATACAGCCGCAGAATTGGCACAGCTGTGTTGAGGTAGCAGTAGGATGTGGGGCTCACAGTCTCTAAATGAGTACATAGTTTGTTAGAATAGTAAACGTGAAAAAGTCTTTCATGCTTCCTGTGTTAACTTACTTGTCTGTGTATACATTCATTCATTCTTTCATGTTTGCTTATTTGTATTCATTTAATCAATCATTTTTATTCATAATTCCTGTTAGATTTTTTTGTCTTTGTAAATTCTTTCATTAATCTTTTCTTGCTTGCCTATTAATGCATACATTTAATCATGTTTGCTGAGTTTGGTTAGTGTGTATTCAGTCATTCATTCATTCCACTGTAGTATCACAAATGAATGACTTTCAGAGTAATCGCTGGTATATGTCATTATTCTGTTTACAAAGCCCTTTGTGTGGGGGGGTCGAGGAATCAAATCTGAGGTAAATTTTACACAATTTGCTAGGTGGTGGTACGTTTTTTGATTTAAAAAAAAAAAAAAAATTGTGTCCGAAGGCATGATCTCCAAGCAGCAGCATCCCAATGTCTCTGCTGTGCTGTACTACCAAACATCATCAAAACGCGACGAAAACTGCAAGTATCATATAAATCATTTCACCATGAGGGCAGTACACGTACCTTAATATGGCAGGATCTTTAAGTTTTTCCTGTTATTATGACGTCGTAGGTCACGTGACAATGCCAACATGGTGGATGTAGTATGGCCGGACTGTATTCAAGTAAGTACTTGATAAAAACCAATCCCTTCAGACTGGCCATGTACCGTCTGCCTTGAAAACGGCCATAATCAGACCATTACTTAAGAAACCCTCAATTGATCCTCAAATCTTTGCTAACTATAGGCCCATATCCAACCTGCCATTTCTCTCTAAGGTTCTGGAGAAAGTAGTTGCCAGCCACCTTCAAGACCACCTCAAACAACAACAACATTTTTGAAAAGTTTCAGTCTGGTTTCCGTTCTGCTCACAGCACGGAAACAGCCTTAGTGAGAGTCACAAATGACCTGCTGATGACAGCTGATGCTGATTCACCATCACTTCTTGTCCTTTTGGATCTTTCTGCAGCGTTCGACACCGTTGATCACGGTATACTTCTCAACAGGCTACACCACTCCGTTGGACTTAATAACACCGTCTTGCGTTGGTTTGAGTCATACCTTGCAGACAGATCTGAATTTGTGGCCATGGGAAGCTCAAGGTCCCGTTCACATGCTGTTAGACGCGGAGTTCCACAGGGATCAGTTCTTGGACCTATTTTATTCATTCTTTACATGCTCCCCCTTGGCAAAGTCATCAGTCGCTTGGGAATTTCTTTCCATTGTTACGCTGATGGTACACAACTATATATGAAAACTGATGCTCACTCATCATCATCATCGTCATCAACTTTACCTACACTCACTGCCTGTTTGGAGGAGATAAGGGCATGGATGAATCATAACTTTCTCCAGTTGAACAGCTCAAAAACAGAAGCCATCCTCATTGGTTCCCCTCATCAGATCAGAACATCTACCATAACTTGCATTACATTCTCTGGCCAGGACATCCCCCTATCACCATTAGTTACAA